ACATATATATATATATATATATATATATCTATATATATATATATATATATATATATATATATATATATATATATATATATATATATATATATATATATATATATATATATATATATATATATATATATATATATATATATATATATATATATATATATATATATATATATATATATATATATATATATATATATATATATATATATATATATATATATATATATATATATACACATATATATATATATATATATATATATATACATATGTATATATATATATATATATTAATATAAAGTACAGCATGAATACAGTGCTCAAGCATAATCGAGTTCACCTCTCACAGATTTTCTTTAGGTTATATTATAATACATTTATGCATATAATTAAATTGTGCATTAAATTAGTCAGTAAGTCCAAATAATTGTACACCCAAACTAATGTTTTCAATAAAAAAAAAAAAAATAAACAAGTAAAACAAAGCAAAACACAAAAATCTGAAAATTTGTTAAATATCTATCTATCTATCTATCTATCTATCTATCTATCTATCTATCTATCTATCTATCTATCTATCTATCTATCTATCTATCTATCTATCTCTCTATCTATCTATAGCAGGGGTGGCCAACCCTGATCTATAGCCAACAACTAATTTGAATTTAAATGCATTATCTTTTTATTTCTAAATGCATTATGTAAACAAACTCTAATTTTAATGTTTAAATGCGCCAATTATTAATAGAAATTATTGGCTACATTCCCTGAGAATCAGATTAAAATATAACATTTCCAAAGGGTATGTCCTCGTTTATTCTAAACTCTGTTATACCAGTCACTAATGAGAATGTCCAAATGCATAAATGTCAATTCATTTAAAATAATCTGGAAAAATAAAAAAATCATGAGAAAATATAAAAATAATTAATATATTTTTAATTATATCTAAAATATAATTATTAATTTGTAATATATAATTGATAAATATTAATAGTTAGTAATTAATTTTAAAAATAAATATACATATAGTATATATTTATATAATAATATAATCTGTGCTTTTACATCTTTTTTTAAAATCCTCTCCTGTCTCATGCATTTGATTGTAAATAATTTTATTGTGTTTACATATACAAAAAGATTGTGTGTCAACATCTGTTGTTTGTAAAGGTGCTATATAATGAAAGCAAACAAACAAACAAACAAACAAAAACAATAAATATATTTTTGCAATAACTCATTTTAATTTAAATTCATTATCTTTCTATTTCTAACTGTGTTAGATGAATAAAATCTTATAATGGATATAAATGTTTAATAAAATGTATTTTTAATGCAGCAAAAATTATTGACAATATTCACTGAGAAATCAGTTTCAATGGGGGGTGTACTTAATAATATGCTGAGCACTGTAATACTTATGAATAAGTCACTAATGATAAGTGTCCAAATGCATGCAAAATGTCTCCAACCACTGTTTTACCATTTCTCCTGTCATTTAAAAAACATTTACAAACATCATTTATTCATCTCAAATAACAGCAGAACACATTGCTGCAAGCATGTTTATTCGGTTAGTTATTCCACACACACACACACACACACACACACACACACACACACACACACACACACACACACACACACACACACACACACACACACACACACACACACACACACACACACACACACACACACACACACACACACACACACACACACACACACACACACACACACACACACACACACTTCACAGCAGCAGTGGTTAGAGCTGTTAGTTTGTCCAGCTGTGGAGCCGTTCATTCATTCAGACAGACAGACACAGAGAGATGTGGGTGATTGAAAGGAAGGGTACCATAAAGTGCTCTGTGCTCACCCTGCCCCCGTACTGCAGCATGGGCGCGGGCAACACGCGCCCCGTCACGTGGGCCATCTCATCCCGGACCTTAAACTGAAACTCCTGCACGAACGGGTCGGCTTCATAGTTAGCGCTGCGCACCTGAAACACACACATTTACAAACACGGTTACAAACTAACTTGAGAGAGTTCATATGCTGGAGAAGTTGGTGGTTCATTCCGCTGTGGCGACTCCAGATTAATAAAGGGACTAAGCCGAAAAAAAAATGAATGAATGAAGGTAAAAAGCAACAGAGGCTGCGATATCTGCTGCCAGATCCATTTTCTACACCCAATCAAGTGTGCCACATGCCTGTTTTTGAGTGACGCTCCTGGCCATAAGATCGCCCCCTGTGGGCTGGCTGCAGTACAAGTCATAAAGCCCACCTCCGACGAAGTTAAGGAAAAAGACTTGATCACAAATAAAAAAAAATGTATTACACTTGCAATAAAATGTCCCGAAAGATGGTTCTGATCAATTAAGGCTCTGGTTATCATGCTGATATAGGTGCAGATCGTCATTTTTGTAAACAGTATGCTTTTAGCCAGTAATTTAATGCTATAAAAAGGGGGCGTGTCATCATGATTGACAGTTGTGACTGACAGTTTCTCTATTCAGCTTCGGGAGGAGATTGAAGTGTTATGATCCGATTTCGGTTTTATTTTACCATGATAAAATGAGTTCAGCAGTCAACGGTACTTTCTGACCTACAAGATCTAGTGGAACACTGTTTATTCAGTAAAGTGAGATCTTTATCTGGCTTTATTATTAGTTTGCTGATACACACCATGACGGGGAAAACACAGGTGATCGCTATCTAGCAGTAATTGTCTTTATGGGTCTGAAATAAGAATTAGGAAGACAAAACTAATGTCAGCCTATCTCCACAGTGATCTCCTGTGACGTTTGTGAACTTGATTTAAAGGAGGTCTCTGACATTTTTGAAACCTCATGTAACAGTGTTTCCTCTAGGATTTTTGCCAGCTGTGGCGGCAGACCTTTTACACAGATCTACCAATTCAGTGTGAATTAATCCAAAAAGAAATCGGATTTTCGATTAATTGCACAGCCCTAATGTTAACCATGTTGAAACTCGGATTAAATGAGAGCATTATTTTAAATACTCTAGTATCTCTCTTGAGCACACAGGATGTTTGTCAAAAGCGTTTCACACTTTGAGCTGATAATATTCCAGCTCAGATCCTGCTGTACTTCAGTGTAAAAATACTCTGAGGTATTTTTAGCTTGGCCTCAGAGAGGCTTTTTCGTTTTGGTACATTTCACCCACGCTTTCCTCGCTGCACTCATGTTTAGAGATTTCAACATCTAAATCCACCACAGCAACACTGATTCACTGCCTGATTGGCTGCCAGTTTAATAAGGCATCAAGAGCAGCAGGGCTTCAATCTCTGAGCTGATCTGAGCGCAGCAGGACTGTAAATCTGCAAACAGCGAGGTAAAGAGTCTAGTCAATCAGCTCAATGTAAAGTCATCACTGACCTCCATTGATACTGATATAAAGCATGAATGCACAAATAACAGCATGAGGCAATATGAGGTTTCAAACATGGCTGGAAGAACTTGGACCATCCTCAGAAGAGCGGATATTAGTATGATATTGCTGTGCAGCCAAATTAGCATGAATACATATTTCAGAATATTACTATTAATTAATTGACAGAGTTATTACATTAATTTGGAAATACAAAAAAGTTACTTGACAAGTTAATCAAATTAAATCAAGTATAAATTATAAATATCTAAGCCTACATTTCTCATTTTCTATAAATGTAAAACAGCTACAAATTAAACAAAATAAGAAAATAATTGATAAAGCAGACATTTGAAATATATATATATATATATATATATATATATATATATATATAAAATATATAATTACATATAAATATATTAAAAAACAATAACAATATTACTAAAACCTTCAACAAATTAAGAAAGATTTTAAATAAAAAAACTAATTTAATATAAATTTAAAAATGTATAAATTTAAATTTATTTAATATATTTAAACAATTAAATATAATAATAATTGTAACATGATACTAATATAACACTGGTGCATTACACCTAACCACATAAATATTAATTTATTTATTAATATCAATTTAATCAATAATAAGCAATCAATTACGTAGGATAACCATAGGGGAAAAAAATAATACAACTGTGTTATTAGAAAAGTTAATTAAGCTTTTTTCAGCTTGTTGCAGTGAAATATTTCTCATTAAAATTTTTGTTCATTTTGTGAACTAAATTAAGTTGAAAAATTATTGTTATTTTAAAAAGCATAAACTAAAAGAAGTTTTGAAATTAACTATAATTAAAATCAAACAATCAAAAATAGACAAAAATTTATATGAAAAAGCCTACTGTAAATAACATTTTAAATAAAATGTAAAAATATTAATGACAAAATAAAATAAGTTGAAGTAAAAAAATAAATAAATAAATAAAAAATAACCTATAATTAGATAAAGATACAAAGCAAAACAAACATTTTAGCCACGCTTAAGTTCAAAAACAGAAAAAAAAAAGTATTCAAATTAGCAATGAAATCTATAGAAGTCTGATATTAAAATGTTGATTATTTCATGCATACAGGAGGTACTAAACAGCACTCACCAGTCTGCTGATCTCCTCCTGTCGGTCTGGTGCGGAGCGCGCCGTGGCTTTGATCATGGTGGACGTCTGATTATCTGTCAGTTTCTTGATGCACCGCTGCCCTGCTACAATATTGCAAACCTAAAAGGATGCACATATCAAACAAGTGGGAGATTATGAGATTTCATAATAATAATGATACAAGTCACCTCAAATCCTGATAACGATATTTATCATGATATAGTAACAAATTCAAGAAACTAATAGTTTAAAAGTATTGACCACGTGAAAAACTAATACATAATTAAACTACAACCCCAAACCAGAAAAAGTTGGGAAAGTATAGAAACCGCAAATAAAAAAAAGAAAGTAGTGATTTACAAATCGACTTTGACATTGCAGACAATATGAACACAATATTTCATGTTTTGTCTGGTCAACTTCATTTAATTTGTGAATATAGATCATTTCCTGTCATTCAGACCTGTAACACACTCCAAAAAAAGTTGGTGCAAAAATTATTTGGTACAAAAGCAGCATCCTAGAAAGGTCTAGTCCTTCAGGAGCAAAGATGGGCCGAGGATCGCCAGTTTGCCAAACATAATTGAGAAAATAATTAAAATGTTTAAAAACAAACAATGTTCCTCAGAGAAAGATAGGAAGGTATTTTATATTTCACCTTCAACAGTGCAGAACATCATTAAAAGATTTAAGGAATCTGGAGGAATTTCAGTGTGTAAAGGACAAGAGAACAACCCTAAGCTAAACTAAGCTGAACAAAATCTTCTCTCTGTTGGAGGGGGGCTAATTATTCTGACTTTAACTGTACATTGTTAATTAAAAAGCAAATGTAACCATTATGTGTGTTGCACTATTCTAAAGCATACCGTAGTATAAATAGTATAAGTAGAGCATTTACAATGAAAGGGGATGTGCTACCGACGAAGGGGTGGGCTGCTGATCAAAGGGAGGAGCTATCATGGGTGTTGACGTTGGATTATTTTGGATTGTGCAAGCAATATTTCTCTCATGTAACGCAACTGATTATGGCGACTCCCGATGGTCAATGCAGTTGTACTCATTCATTCATTAATTTTCTTGTCGGCTTAGTCACTTTATTAATCTGGGGTCGCCACAGCGGAATGAACCGCTAACTTATCCAGCAAGTTTTTTACGCAGCGGATGCCCTTCCAGCCGCAACCCATCTCTGGGAAACATCCAAACACTCATTCACATACACACTCATACACTACGGACAATTTAGCCTACCCAACTCCCCTGTACTGCATGTCTTTGGACTGTGGGGGAAACCGGAGCACCCGGAGGAAACCCACATGAACAGGGAGAACATGCAAACTCCACACAGAAACGCCAACTGAGCTGAGGATCGAACCAGCGACCTTCTTGCTGTGAGGCGAACGTGCTACCCACTGCGTCGCCAGTTGTACTCATGACAGGCACTATTTGCTAGTTTTGTCATTTGCACCCGGGAAACGGTTTGAATTTCGGCTTTAAAAAGTTAGTGTTCCTTATGGGATTACACTAAACTCCACACTACATGATTTCTCATGATGCTGTTATTTATTTATCTGTCTACATCCCTGTAATGACGTGAATTATTGCTCTATAAATAATGCATTTTGCCACACCCTATTTTGTCCGTGTAATTTATATATAGTAATGACTCATGTTGCACAGCACTAAGAAGAACAGAGAGTGAGTGAGTGTGTGTGTGTGACAGACTCACCTCCAGAGGCAGGTATGTGTGTTTCTGCTCCTGTCCCACCTGTAGACAGGGCAGGTGAGGGTACTTGAGCTGCAGGTTGTACTTCTCTCTGAAATACTGAGCTACTGTCCGTTCTACAGTTTGGCCGTTCTCCAACTGCAAAGGGAACCTGGGAAAACATCAAGACACTTGATTTAACAACACTAGAGACCTGTACTCCTGTATTTAAACACTAGAGGGCAGCATGGCACAGCATTTGATCCTACTGTTTTCCTCTTTACCCTATACCAGATAACAGATGGCTAACAGATGACTCTGGCTCAGTTATACCAGACATAGTAAGACCATAGACTCAGTTATGCCATAGCGTGTTCTGTCAGATGATTCCCATCCTGTGCATCATGAGTTTTACCTTCTCACTTCAGGTGTTCGATACACTCCTATTAGTTCCTAGCAAATCATTTTAAACTTGCATTCATCCCCTGCGCTATAAAGCTTTAAATATGAGTGAGATTTGTATTGTATAATGTGTTTTGTGTATTATGTGTGATATGCTTGTATGCTGCAATCAAATTATCTTCGGGAAATAAACAAAGACTAACTAACCTTTTTTACACTTTCCATCATACTTTGCTTGAATTATGGACCTTTAAATCCTACACAATCAGGGAGTTGTTTATATAAAATGAATGAAATTAACACCAGCATGATATATTTCATAATTCATGCATTTAATATTAAATGAAAACTTGTTAAAATTAACTTTTAAAAAAAATATTTTCAGAAGACTAGTTAGGTTACGAGACTGCCCAATCTCATCATTTAGCAGATAAACATCAACACAACATTGATTAAAACATAACAATTTTTCTCATTTCTAAGAGAGTTTAAATACAGGATAAAATACAGGCTGAAGGCACTAAACATTTTTCTGCAGGCACAAAACTTATTAACTAGGCTCTCAATTTCATTTATTGTATAAACTTTCACACTCACTGGCCACTTTTTAGGTACACCTCTCCAGCTGCTGGTTAATGCAAATTTCTAATCAGCCAATCACATGGTAGCAGCTCAATGCATTTTGGCATGTAGACATGGTCAAGGCGATCTGCTGCAGTTCAAACCGAGCATCAGAACTGGGAAGAAAGAGGAAATATCCAATGAGCGGCAGTTCTGTGTGCGCAAATGCCAGAGGAGAATGGCCAGACTGGTTCCAGCTGATAGAAAGGCAACATTAACTCAAATAAGCACTCGTTACAACCGAGGTCTGCAGAAGAGCATCTCTGAACACACAACACATCCAACCTTGAGGCAGATGGGCTACAGCAGCAGAAGACCACACCGGGTGCCACTCCTGTCAGCTGAGAACCGGAAAACTGAGGCTACAATTCACACAGGCTCGCCAAAACTGGACAATAGAAGATTGGAGAAACGTTGCCTGCTCTGATGAGTCTCCATTTCTGCTGCCAGATTCGGGTGGTCGGGTCAGAATTTGGCATCAACAACATGAAAGCATGGATCCGTCCTGCCTTGTATCAACAGTTCAGACTGGTGGTGGTGTAATGGTGTGGGGGATATTTTCTTGGCACACTTTGGGCCCATTAGTACCAATTGAGCATCGTGTCAACGCCACAGATACCTGATTATTGTTGCTGACCATGTCCATCCCTTTATGACCACAGTGTACTCATCTTCTGATGGGACTGCTCAATCCAGCTACTTCAAGCAGGATAATGCGCCATGTCAAAGCACAAATCATCTCAGACTGGTTTCTTAAACATGACAATGAGTTCACTGTACTCAAATGGCCTCCACAGTCACCAGATCTCAATCCAATAGAGCACCTTTGGGATGTGGTGGAACGGGAGATCCGCATCATGGATGTGTAGCCGACAAATCTGCAGCAACTGTGTGATGCTATCATGTCAATATGAAGCAAAATCTCTGAGGAATGTTTCCAGTACCTTGCTGAATCTAGGACGAAGGCAGTTCTGAAGGCAAAACAAGGTCCAACCCGGTACTTGTAAGGTGTACCTAATAAAGTGGCCGGTGTGACTTTCACACATTTCTGACATACTTCAAATCAAAATGTTCCATGCGGATATCAAATGCATTAAAGCACTGTGGCTTTGCCCTCTGTAATCAATATGTTCATAACTCGCATTACTTCCTGTGCCGGTTTGACTCACGTTTGGTGGCTGGCAGGCCGGCGGGTCACATTGCAGACGCGGTACTTCCTCCGCATGGTCCCGCAGTGGGTCACCTCCACCTTCAGACCTGCACATAAACCAACCCATGAGAATGAAGTACGTACACCAAGACACAAACTTAGTGGTTGCAACATTTTCTTAGATACGATTCAGTTTTACGGCTCTGACACTAAATCAAACAGGCACCAAATAAATTTGCTGTTCATACTATGGATAAAGCGACTTTTAAAAGTATTATATTAAAGCAAGCATGTCTTAATCTTTTTTAAAAAATGCAAAAACATAACATACTTTTCATATTTCACTTTGTGTCTTTTTTCATTCTTTTTAAACCAGTTTCAACAATTTTAATCTGATAATTGTATTCTTTTACTCATCATTGCACGCACACGCACACGCACACGCACACACACACACACACACACACACACACACACACACACACACACACACACACACACACACAAACACACGCACACGAACACGCACACACACACAGATTTGAGTCCAATCAGGTTAAAACATTTACTGTATGTATGACGCAGTAAATGGTGTTATGTGAGAGTATAACTGTTGTTGACTTGAGATTGAAAGCAGAGCAGCCCACAAACTCTGCGAGTGTTGGAGCAGGTTGAATCTGCAAAATATCCTCAGTAAACTTTCTTTAACTGAATCTCGGACTCCTACTCTTCTTCGTCTGGCAGACTGGTCATTTTTGGGTTATAACTGTTGGTAGCCCAACAATTTTGTTGCACACAAGCTGACTAGTCATGTCTAATCTGCTCCTACATCAACTATATTACACGTGTGCTCCCCAAGATTTTAGATGACTCTGTGTTGTTTTACGCTAAGAGTAAACAACCCTCCTCCACCCTAGTTCCACCTGTGTTTAAATCTGCTATGGGGTTACACATGGTTTCCGCTACATTCATTCTTCAATGGCGGGGTGCCACACCAAAATGCATCCCACCACGGCTACATTCCAGCTTTCCATTCAAAACCTTCAGTCATTGTTGATGTTTTTAATGGCGGGTTATAATCTTATTTAATAAGTTAAAAAACTTATTAAAAGGTAAGGGAATTAGAACAGCGCAAACATTTCTGTAATCGTAGTAGTGCTGTGCGTTATTTGTTTAACCCTTTGAGGTTATGTGCGGACTAACAGGTGCGTGAGGCCAGCAAACAAGGCATAGCTTTCAGTTAGGATGAACACAGTTTCCATAAATGTACTTTATTTAAAGATAAAGGTCTGTGCTTATGCATACAATGACTCGATCTTGCTGGAGTTTATAGCCGTTTCACTTTACTTCAGGACGCATTACCACTGCTCTGTAGGTCTACTGGAAAATTAAGAAATATTCCTAGCAAATCTAATGAATGTTGAGACATTCTCACTACATAAACGTGCTAAATCGCACTTCAGCAGCATTTATTTGAGAGCGCACAAGAAGATCTGCGCTTGAACAGCGTATATTTGAGGGGGTGTACAAGATGTTTAGTGCACGAGCGGAGGAATTCGGCACGCGAGCAAAAAGATTCACATGCTCGTATTGCATAAATGTGATCATGACTTGTAATACTACGACATTTCTCCATTTGTCATTGAAATAACGACATACTGTTCACACGGGGCGTCAGCGTCAACGCTTCCCATTCACTTTGAATGGGTGACGTCAGGCGTTGCCGAACTGCATTGTGGATCCGTCGGCGCCGCTTCAGAAGCGTTCCTCGCTGCAGAAGTTGGAACCAGCTCAAACTTTTCCGACGGAAGCGTCAGCCAATCAGATCGCTGTATGCAAATACACCAGCTCAGACAGTGGCCTATTGCTGACTAAATTTCATTGGCTGACGCTTCTATGACGATCGTTTCAGCTCCAACTTCAGACACGCCCTCTGTCAAGCGTTGACGCTGAAGCCCCGTGTGAATAGGGCGGTAGATTTATGTAAAAGGTGTGCCGCCACAGCTGGAAAAAATCCTAGAGGAAACACTGGGTTACATGTATATGATGTTTGCAGCAGTGTTATATTCTCAGACTGCATGTCTATGAATATACCGGGAGTAACAATACTCTGTACTTGCTCTGCCATAATGATCAAAGCAGCAGCAGCAGAGCAGATATATTCCACCGAGACCAAACACATCACAAATGCCATATAGCAGTTTTTAATTTTTTAAACCATTTAAGGTTAATATTATAAGCCCTCTTATGCAATATTTGTTTCTGATTGTCTACCGAACAAACCACTGTTATACAATGACTTGCCTAATTACCCGAACCCGCCTAGTTAACCTAGTTAACCTAGTTAAGCCTTTAAATGTCACTTTAAGCTAAATACTAGCAACTTAAAATATCTAGTAAAATATGTACTGTCATCATGGCAAAAACAAAATAAATCAATTATTAGAAAGTAGTTATTAAAAGTATTATGTTTAGAAATGTGTTGAAAATATTCTCTCTCTCTGTAACAGAAATTGGGGGAAAATATAAAGGCGGCTGTATACTGTATATATTCATTGCCATAATAAATCTCTCAGAGAGCTGTCATGACAGAAAGATTGACTTTTAAAAGTAACAGCGGACACAAACACGTATGAACACACACCTTTGATTTCTTTGGTGAATTTGACTCTGTGGGAGTCTGTGAGGGGTCGCGGCTGCTCGTCGATGTTGTGGATGTCCAGGACTTCACACATGAACTGAATGACTGGCTGTGCTTTGTAGAAAGCCGTGGCTGACACTGAAACACAGGAGAGATGAAAACTGATGAGAAACGCTTTAGTGCAGGTTATAATAAAAAAAAAAAAGCATCATGATGACTGAAAAAATTTATTATGAAAAAAAACAATCTAAGGTCTATTACCATTTAATATATCTACTGCAGTGGAACTGCAGGACAATGTATTTAGGTTTAGTGGAGTTGGAATTTGCATATGCAAAGATCACAAAAGGTATTAAATAGGTTGCTTATTATTGCTAATAACAGGAACGGACTGCATTTGTCTAAGAATAGTAGAATGTATTTTTGAGCATGTGTATAAGTATAAAGTATGTCCACGCGGTTTACTAAAACTATTATATGAAGAGTTCAGATCCATCAGACCCCTTTTCTTGTAAATGAGCATTTTCTATCAGGCTCCTCTGATTAGGTTCAGAAGTTTCATTTTATAATGAAAAGGTTATTCGCTAGTAAATAAACCTTTTTTCAAAAATTTCACTTTAGACAAGTCTTTGTTTTTTAAGAAGGTGAACTTTCTTTTGTGTCAAAACCAGCTAAATCCACCTCTGCTTTTCATGCAAAACCTTCTAAATCCACCTATTGGGAAAAGACAGTGTAATTATTTGAAAATGAAGATGCTATAAGAAATTGTTTTAATAAACATAGAATATATTACACAAACCACATAAAAATTAAAAATATATAAATCTGTCAAGTAAGTGGTGGTTCATTCCGCTGTAACCCATGATAAACCAGGGACAAACCAGACAGAAAATGAATGAATGAAATCTGTCAAGTAAGACCATAAATCAATAACATTAAAACTGGCATTAATTAAATCTTAATCTGTTGGCATTTCTGATATTTTGTATATATTTTTAATGTAAGTAAAGCAATGTAAACATTGTAAACATTGTAAACTGAGCTTGATAGATTCAAATAATGTAGTGTAAAAACATTGTGAAACATCAATATCTGTGCATTGCTCATTAATATAAAAAGCTTATCAGACGTACAGGTATTATGAAGTATATAAATAATGTACAGTTTAATATTTTATATTTATCTTAAAAAATAGCTCAAATTAGCAAATAAAACAAGATAGGCCTACTAGGCAAAAAGGGGATGCCTCTTGGACAATTTTAGAAACTGTCATTCATTCATTTTCACCATACTTAAGGTCTTGGATCCATGCTTATCCTCTTCGCATTCACGTGAGATAAAAGAACAGTATCTTAACTCTGTCTTTCATGAAATGGAGTTGCCGTTTAATGTATAGTAAATGGGACTCATTCAAAGTATTGTTGCTGCGCAAAAACACATTATAAATGCATGCTACACTTCCGACTGCACATTGTGTTTTTATAATGCACAGAGTTGAGGTGAGGGACGGTTTCATTTGCCATTTACTGACAGTCGGACAGGCTCAAAGTTCATCAAACTCAGTCTTGAAATCGAAAGCGGAATAAAACATGGGATTCAATTTGTGCCTTCTGATTGGTACAGAGGATATAGCTGCTTTTGCTGTCAAAGGCAAGTGGCGTTTAGCGGCTTTTGCAAACAAACTGTTTCTGAATGCGCTGACGCTGGGATATAGATGATTTAGAGCAAATATATATTTGTTGATGGTGTAGTACGTGTCTAAAGCATTCACTCAATGTCATTAACTCATTGTTACTGAAGTGGTGTTTAGCGGCTTTTGCATCTGAACTCTTCATATATTTTTTAAATATTTATTTCTGCATGCATATTTGTTTGTTTTTCAAATTTAAAGTGTACAAAATCATTATCTATTAAACTTATGAGATTCTAAAATTGGGGTTAGAAAACAACGTTAACTTCACAATGCAATTACTACTGAAACTAAATAATTAGAAAAATAAATAATTGTGAGATTTGCCTGTTTCAGTGTAGAAATCTCTTTTTTTATAAGTCTCTTTTAAGGTTAATTTTGTATTACTTAAAAACATAAAAATAACTTGTTATAGCTACTAAAATATATATACATATCAGAAATAAATTATATGCATGTTGTCAATTTTGACTACATTTTTGACTGTTTTTAAGAAAAATCATTAAAAATTATTTTCTATTTGAAATGCTTGTTTAAAATAAAAATATAAAACATGATTTAATTCAGGATACATCTTGCATTCAAATAAATAAAGAGACAAAATAATTTTTTTAAATGTATTAACCTTCTAACATTCTTAATTCATTCTATATGCCATTGCATGATCAGCTGTAGGTTGTTGTTATCTTTGAAAACCTCAACTTCTAATTGCATTTCACAAGCTTTTAGTAAACAGAACCAATCTTGAAGTCACTGTTTATAAAGTCCTGTGAGAAAACATCTCCACGAATGTTGCCGATGCTTTCGCGCTCTTTCTGAGGCCATTCACTGCTTTATAAGCGTGACAATGAGGCAATGAAAGGAGAGACGATTTCAGACGGTTGGACTTTTCCCTGCCCTTCAGACAGAGGGGGAGGAGCAGAGATGCAGCCAATTGACTTATGGGAGTCTGAGAGAGCGGGAAAACACGCAGACAGAGACACAGAGAACTGCTGAACTCAGTGAAAGAAAGAGAGGCTCCTTTAACACCCCCTTCAATCACACAAACCCCCACCACCATTATTCAGACCTTCAGTGGGACCCGCTCTCACACTCCTACTAAAAAAAAAACACACTTGCTAAGGAAACTCAAAGGATGCGCACCATCAATGTTGAGCATCATTTTCCACATGGCGGGCCGAACAGACTGATGGAAACCGAACCACACCTCTCTGCCTCCACCTAGAGGATGATCATAACCCTCCGGGGCGGAGAAAAATGAGCGGCCCACGGGTGTGTACCTGTAAGAGACAAAGAAGAGACCTCATCAGACTTAAAAATGCAGATGATATTAAGGATTCAGTGATTTCTTGTCTTTGCTAAATGCACTTTTAATGAGTGTTTGAAGAGAAATCCAGCAAGAAATGGCATTTATTTTTTTTATATTCACCTAATGCATTTGTTATAAAAGAATTATGCATGCATTTACAAATTTCACATACTTTATATTGTGTATATTTTGAATTTGCAATCCTAAATGAACAACACAAACATAACCAAAAGTATTTTATGCACGCAGAAATACAATAAAAACTGTTATATTTTACATACAGTGTATACCACCGCCGATATTGGTTAAAAAAAATAAATAAATAAAAAAAAGTCATCAAATATACTTGGGCAGCTGTTAATATACCTGGGCAGCCCGTCCAAGTAAAGTCTGTGTAGGAAGCACTAAAGTGTGTCCACGTGGTTTCATATATATATATATATATATATATATATATATATATATATATATATATATATATATATATA